TCCTCTGGGTCTCCTATGCACGTGCAGAAGCCCAAGCACTTAGGCCATCTTCTTCTGCTTTCCAGGGCCATAGCACAGAGCTGGATTGGAAGTGGAGCAGCTGGGACTCAAACAGGCACCCATATGGGATGCTGGCACTACCAGTGGCAGCTTTACCCGCTACGCCACGGCACCGACCCCAACACCATCTTTCTTAAGGGTCTCACATAACCAACTCAATACTACTCTGGCATGGGAGATCATTGTTTTCTCTTGGGCTCTAGGTGGCTTAGCCAATCACAAATAAATGATGTTAACATGAGCTCCAGAATCAGCAGTTAAGGGCAAGGAGATCTTCAATCAGCTAAACAGAAATACTGTTGGAGATAAGAAGTAACCACTCAGCAACAATCTTGCGAAAACAAAAATGCTAAGAAGGCATGCAGTAGGGAAACAGATGGCAGTAGGGCTGGCCAGCATGTGTGTGGACCTAGTTCAAGAAACAGGACAGAAGTTATAGCTAAGATGTAAGACACCAAAGCCCCAACACATATGCAGTGAGATAGATACAATACTCAAGGCAGAGCAAAAATAAATAAGCAGGCTTATTTTCTGCAAGGAGGAAGCAGTAGGGGTCCATGGGAGGAAAAAGGCCATCTGACTAATTGCAAAGGAGTTTGGCACTCCAAGAGTCAGTCTGGCAGCATATTTAAGATCTTAGACTTTAGAGGAAAAAAATGGACTTTTTGTTTTTTTAAATATTTATTTATTTTGAAAGGCAGAGGCAGAGAGAGAGAGACAGAGAGAGAGAAAGGTCTACCATCCACTGGTTCACTCCCCAGATGGCCGCATCAGTTGGAGCTGAGAGATCCAAAGCCAGGAGCCAGGAGCTTCTTCTGGGTCTCCACACAGGTGCAGGGTTCCAAGCACTTGGGCCATCTTCTACTGCCCTCCCAGGCCACAGCAGAGAGCTGGACCAAAAGTGGAGCATCTGGGACTTGAACTGGGGCCCATATGGGATGCCAGCACAGCAGGTAGTGACTCTACCCTCTACGCCATAGCGCCAGCCCCCATGAACTTTAATTCTGAAGACACTTTCCAGCTGTTTGACATTTGACCCTGATTGAGTTGTATTTGGCCTCAGCTCCCTCACCTGTAGCAGGCTGGTCACACATGAAACCTGCCTGAAAAGCTGTCCAGAGGATGACATGAGGCACCTGTCATGCAGCTGTGCCACTGAATTAATCCTATGGCATCAATAGGATGCAATCCTGAAGCAACTTTATTTTAATCAAGCCTTCCAGCCACACAGTTCATTCTTTCCTTTTGCCTGAAGAACTTCTTAAGTCAATCTCCTAGTGTTCCTGGATTGCTCAGATCTCAAGAAGGATCTCATTCCAGTTCTAAAAGCTTCCAGCCTTGGGAAATAATAAAAACCTCTACCTGCAGTAAATGTAAGCTTCTGCCCTGCCCAGCTTGGCGTCCCTTCAGGCTGGGAAGGTTGCAGTGGGTAGAATCTTTCTCGGTTGTGATTTCTCTCCCCGTCTCTCTCTTCTAGTCACAGACCCCTCCCAATCTGGCTGATGGGGAGACAGCAGGTGAGAAGGCATGGTGTTAAGGGAGTCTTAGCTATCTAATTTGCACTAGGGGCTTGGACGACATTCAAAACTGACTCCCCTCCTAGGGCCCGTTTGTCATCGTTGTCCAGGATTCTCCTGCTGAGGACCTCCAATTGCAGCGTCAAAGCATCTCCCCCCACCCCCAGCTGGCATAACTCCTCTTTCCGAAACTTGGGGATCGTGGTGTCTTGTGCTGGGTCTCTTCATATTCTCCCACTCACTCTTACCACATGCAGCTTTTTTCTCTTTCATTTTAGGTTTATTTAATGTATTTGAAAGGCAGAGAGACAGAGACAGAGAGAGATTTTCTATCTGCTGGTTCACTCTTCAATTGCCCACAACAGCCAGGGCTGGGTCACTTCAAAATCAGGAAACAGACTGAATCCAGTCATCTCACATGGGTGGCAGGGACCCAACCACTTGAGCCATTACCTGATGCCTCCCTGGGTATACGTTAATAGAAAGCTGGGTCAGAAGTAAAACTGGGACTTGAACATAGACACTCCAAGATGGGATGCTGGAATTTGCACTAATTCCAGCAGTATCCTAACTGCTGCATGAAATGCCCACCCCAAGGCAACCTTGTTCAAGAGGGTTCTAGAGCCCTCTCCAGTGGGCCCCATGAGTAAACTCACATACTCACAAACCCTTGGCCACTGCCATTCCTGCTCCAAGAGCAACTCTCTCTCTCTCTCTCTCTCTCTCTATATATATATATATATATATTTGTGTGTGTGTGTGTGTATCATATATCCATATATGCTCTGCTATATCAGGCATAAGTGCTCACTCACCCTTAGGTTCTCAGGCATGTGCCATATACCTGGATCCAATGTCCTCTAAGTTCCAGAATGCACACAGTAATCTCTCTGACTGACTCCCTTGAACCTCTTAACTGGGGAGGGAGGACCATATAAGCCATAAGTGAATAAATGCTTTTCAACTCTTCAATCCCTAGTCTTCAAAGACATGGCTACTTTGAATGATGAAACCTACCTTAGAGTCTCTCTGAGGGTTTTGCCTGGGTTCTCTAGCATCTCATTTTAGAATGTGCAGTTCCTGCATACTATCAAGTGTGTTCGGGGGCTAGCATTGTGGCATACCAGTAAAGCTGCTGCCTACGATGCCAGCACCCCATACGGGTGCTGGTTCAGGTCCCTGCTGCTCCTCTTCTGATCCAGCTCCCTACCAATGGCATGGGAAAAGCAGCAGGGGATACCCAATGCTTGGGCCCCTGCCACCCACATGGGAGACCCAGAAGAAGTTCCTGGCTCCTGGCTCCTGGCTTTGGCCTGGCCCAACCCTAGCCATTGCAGCCATCTGGGGAGTGAACCACTGTATAGAAGATCTCTTTCTCTGTCTCTCCCTCTCTCTGTGTGTAACTCTGACTTCGTTCTGGCCTTTCAGCCTCTATCAAGACTCTGTGACAAAAATGGGAAGGGATGTCTTGTCCTCCAGCTGCATCGAGCATGAGCCCAGCTCATGACGCCATGCAGGCTCTGAGAGTGTATTCCTCTCCTTATCTTTACAGGTGAGACCTTGGTGGAGCCAAGACCTGGAAGTCTAGGTATAGAACTGGAATAACATATTTCTTGCCAAATTGAAAGCTTTGTTATTGTAAAGAAGAAACAAGATAGATGAGCCACTGTTTTACACACAGAGAATCAACAGGGAAAAAAATGTTACTATTAAGTTAAGAGAATAGCAGTTTCAAGAAAAATGTGGCTCCTCGGCCTGTTTTCCTTCCTATCTAATACACTCCAAACGTAGTAGAGGAAGGCCTGGGTTTCAATGCCCAAGCATAAAAAGCCATGGAAAAGGGCAGCACCACTGGTTACTTACACATCCTCTATGAAACCTGAGGCCTGATGGCTACAATGCATGGAACATGGAAGCAGGAAAATCTGAAGATTCCACCCCTCAGATTTCACTGCATCTCACTGCCTGCCCCAACCCAGAGACCAAAAATTTCTTAACTTAATAATCAAAAACAAATATATTTTTTAAGAGCCAAAGACGCTCAATTCATGCCAGGCAACGCCTGTCTTATCCAGCTTTCTCTGATCCTGACCACAGTCCCATGCTTAAGAAAGTAAGGTTATGCTGGGTCTGGTGGGGAGCACAACAGGGTGGCTATTGGCTGAGTTGGGCTTCAGACTCAAGAGCTCCATCCACATGCTGGCTAATGACCACTGCTGCAGAGGGCAAAAGGGTGGGGAAAACAAGAGATTGCCTGGCTTTCAGGCTGCAGAGCAACAGGGAAATCCGAGCAGTTGAAGATATTGAGGGAGCGTTGTCAATAGGAGGCGCAGCATGGTGGGGAAGAGAATGTCTTGCTTTAGAGTTGTCTTGGTTCCTCTTTCCATACCCAGGCAGCTGTAACTTTACATTACCCCCCACTCAGCCCCATTTTTCATGCTGTCCTTGTTACTCTCTGTCTACTGCAACAGTAAGAGGAAGAGAAGGCATAGACCTGCTATTCTAAGCTAATCAATCTCCATCGTCCTGGAGAACAGAGGATCTTCTAGAATAATGTCCAGTGTAGAATTACAGATCCTTCTTGGGCCTGGCCTGCTTCAAAAGCTGGTTTGAAACTAGCCCAATCTTTGGGAGCAGAATGTGATTTTTTAAAAACCCTGTCTTCTTATCATGTTCCCATCTGTTCTGTCAAATAGCCAGCTTTCCCAGCCACAAGGTCATCCTCAAAGACTGGACTGAGTTTGCAGCTAGCCCCAAAGCTCCTCACAGTGTGGGACACAATTTGGGGTCATTGAAGAGGTGAGTTCCTGCCTCATGCTGCCTGGGGCTAGTTACCCACACCACTCATAGCAGTTCAAACTGGGATTATCTATGCAATGAATATTCTTTTTGTTACTAAGTCATGCAAACGCTATGAGAATATTAAGTAATGCTTTAAATACTCCCAACTCCAGTACCTTAAGACAACAAAAGGCTTAAAATCAAAGATCTGGGTTCAGACTCTCACTCTGCCACTCTTTACCCATGTGCTTTTACCTGACTTGCTTTGACCTCTAGGAATCTTTGTCCCCTCCTCTATAAAATAGATGTTATAACACTTACTCCACAGGTTATCATGGGGGTTCAAGGAGTTACTGGAGACAGTACAACAGCACCACAACAACAGTAAGCATTCTTTGAGCACTTGCTATGTGCCTGGCACGGTGTTCAGCATTTCACTTGCTTTACTTCATGTAATTCCCACAATAACCTTAAGAAGCCAGTACCTTCTATAGTTAAAATGATTGGGCTGCATTACCTGCCTGGGTAACTAATGTGACTAATGAGAGGCGGTGCTGAAAAATGCTCATTCTTTCACTGGTTCATGCTTCATTATGACAAAGAATCCAGACCTAAACAAAGAAATTACCAGCAAGGACTCACCGGGGGCTCATCAGTTCCAAGTCGCCAATATGTTGAATTACACAGCTTTTTCACTTCCGCGGAACTCTCTATATCATAATCTTTGGGAAAAGCTTCTCTGTCCCGGTGCCTTAAGACAAAATGAAAAGTTCATTAAGGGATAAAGCTTATTTATCATGTGTTGCATTTAAATTTTTTAAAATTACCCAGCAAAATGGATTACATTTGTGGCATTGCTTTAATTACAATTTTATTGAATTTGTGGCCCATATTTTCTAGCTCTTTTCAAGTAATGGTGAGGCTACTTCCTAAAAGCAACTAAGCACATGTGATAAAACTAATAATATTGCAAAAATGCTACTTACCCAGCAGAGTAATTATTCAATGACTCCAATGAACTGAATCTTATTTAATAATGTGGATTAGTTACCAAGAGTAAATTCTAAAAAAGAACATGGTAATATCTTAGAAAGGCAACTTGCCACTTCAGAAATTCTTTCTACCATGAATTTTAATTACAATTTTTTTCAAAATGAGACAGCAAAGTATTGGTTCATATTGATTTATAACCTGTGCTTCCTGCTTCTAAAGTCAGTCTAAAGGAAGCTGACAATTAAACATAAGCCGGGGGAGGGGGGGTGAACAGTTTGTAAAAATGTAAATGGAAGGGGAAAATTATTCCAAACATCTTGACTAAAAGGGTGGTGAAGAATAATAAAAGGGGGATTCAGGGACAGGGAAGGCGAATGGAAATGACATGGCTGGAAACAGAAGTAGCTGTTTTCACAGAGCCTTCTTGGCTGAGATACAGGAAGATGAGCCCAAGCAGCCCCAAGATGGGGCCTGGCTATTACGGGATACAGAGCTGGGATCCTACACGGGGTACTCAACTAGCCACAAATTCATGCATCCACTTATTCATTCAGCAAATGTGGTTAAGTACTCACAGGCTGTGGTTTGCTTATGCTTTCTCTCTCTGAAACCCATCATCCTAATGTGACTGCCATTTTGGTGGAGTTGGAAGCTGTAGCCTCTGAGAGGTAATGAGGCCATCATGAAGGATTCAAGCCTCTCTCTTGGGACTGACCTCCACAGGGTGGTGAGTCCTCACTCTCACGGGACTAGATGAGCTACAGAGAAGAAGGTGTGGCTACTTCTCCTGTTTTCCCTCTTCTGCCCTTGTCACCCAGTTTTTAGCCATGCAATAACACAGCAGAGGGCTCCAACCAGATGTACCAACCCAGTCTTGAACTTTCAGCCTCCAGAATTAAGAACTACACAAACTTCTTTCCTTTATAAATCACTTAGTCTCAGGGCCGGCACCATGGCGCACTAGGTTAATCCTCTGCCTGCGGTGCTGGCATCCCATATGGGCGCCGGGTTCTAGTCCCAGTTGCTCCTCTTCCAGTCTCTGCTGTGGCCTGGGAAGGCAGTGGAGGATGGCCCAAGTCCTTGGGCCCTGCACCTGCATGGGAGACCAGGAGGAAGCACCTGGCTCCTGGCTTCTGATCGGCGTATCTCCAGTCATAGTGGCCATTTGGGGAGTGAACCAATGGAAGGAAGACCTTTCTCTCTGTCTCTCTCTCTCTCACTGTCTAACTCTGTCGAATAAATAATAATAATAATAATAATAAAATCACTTAGTCTCAGACACTCTGTTACAGCAACAAAAAATAGACTAGGGAACTAACCATATGCCATGCATTTTGCTGGTGCAGGGGATATAATGAGGGTGGGGCAGTCTCTGCCTTTACAGTCTGGCCAGAGAAAAGGGACAGTAATTTAAGGAAAATGTACAGTGCGGTGGGGCACCCAAGTCAAGAGGCCCTTAAGGACCAGATAACCTACCTGACCCTGCTGTGTCGGAGCTCAGCCCCGGTGCTGCATTCCCACAGTACTCATTGGTGTCCCCCTTGAATTAGTAAAAACATCATCACTGACCAGCCCTTGTCTAGACACAGCCGTCTTTTGCAGATATTAATTTGTCAAGACATGGTCAGCAGTCAGTCCAAGGCCAAAGACGCTTGAACACAGGTATTCCTTGTGGCTGACTGGGGGAAGAGCTGTTTCTCTGAGATCAGAAGGGCAGACACAGGCTCACATTCTTGCTGGAAGGGGACATGAACAGCTTCCTGCCAGCAAGGGCCAGGATTTCCCCCTGAGAAGCAGGCTTGCTTCTGCTTGAGGACCTTGCTCTGTCCAGCCCAGAGCTGATACCACGGCTCTTTCTTTATGAGAAGACCTTATCTAGGACATCCTTAACTCAAGTAGATGAACTTGCTTCTTCATGCTTCTGCGAGAGAAACTGTATGGCAATTGTTAGTGTCCGCAGACAGCCATTGGTTCAGAATAATTTCCAGCAGACCAGACCAGAACTTGCGTTAAGAGTGGTATAATCAAACTGAACTAGGACATAGGCCAGTTTTTCAAAAAGCAGGAGACCCTGGTCTACCTGAGTCAGGGAGATGAGGAAGTCTCCTCTCATCTGAACGCTTGGTAACATTAGATTGACCAAGTCACTTTCTGTTCTCTGCTGCTGCTTTCTTCAGCCTGCTCTGTCTATGAAGCCAATTTCTCTGCTCAGCTCAATGGGACACCCATTCCACTTCATAAAATGAAATGCTGCCCAATTTTAGTATCACAAATAACAGCCAATTAGATCTTTTAAATTAATTTTTGTTACACTAAAATTTTTTGTTAAACTAAATTTTTTTTTTGACAGGCAGAGTGGACAGTGAGAGAGATAGACAGAGAGAAAGGTCTTCCTTTGCCGTTGGTTCACCCTCCAATGGCCGCCGCGGCCAGCGTGCTGCGGCCGGTGCACTGCGCTGATCCGATGGCAGGAGCCAGGTACTTATCCTGGTCTCCTGGTCTCCCATGGGGTGCAGGGCCCAAGTACTTGGGCATCCTCCACTGCACTCCCTGGCCACAGCAGAGAGCTGGCCTGGAAGAGGGGCAACTGGGACAGAATCCAGCACCCCAACCGGGACTAGAACCTGGTGTGCCGGCGCCGCAAGGCAGAGGATTAGCCTAGTGAGCCGCGGCACCGGCCACTAAATTTTTTTAAACTAGTTTTTTTAAATTATTAAACTAAACTGTCTTTTAAGACTATGAATAGAATTAGAAATGGGGAGAGGGCTGATGGGATAGAAATTAAGTTGCAAATTGTATAAAAAGGAATTTGGAATCAAGATCCTGTTGTCAGACATACCACTTGGAATGATTCAAAGAGGGTTAAACTCAATAAAAATCCAGTAGGATCAAGCATAAGCAGGTCCACATTCAGGACAGATCAATATCCAGTTAGTATATGGCTCCTGGCCAACAACCCTACAGCCACCCAAGCCCTCCAGACCCTGTTCTGTCTGTTTCCCCCTAGGCCTAACTTAATATAGTCCCAAGTCATGCCTTGTCAAGGTGACCTGCGGAATCCCTCTGTGCTACTTTGGGAGTCAGGCTTCCCTCCATAAGAGCTGAGCGACTGCAGGTCAAATCAGACCTGTGAGCCCTTCCTGCGGAAACGCACACAAGCAAGTTGCAGGACTGCACAAATTCAAATCCAGAGCCACAGGTCAATCAGGGACTCACAGCTTCCCCCAGGCTGCCCCTGGCCAGAGGGCCAGCTCCCTGTCGGTGGAGTTAGGCCGTGGGATTCTCGAAGGGGAGTGGACCAAGTCACACTGTAGTGTTTGTGTTCCCGTGTCTAGGAGGGAAAGCACTGTGGGGGTTTACAAAGAAACCGGTCTCTATCAATGCTGCACCTCCACGTTGCTTTGTAATCATTCACCAAGGCAGCTGCCTTCTCATTAGCCTGAGAGTGTCCTAGACACAGGGATGATTTTTGATTCGTCTTGGTGGTCTTTGTGACTAGCACAGCCTGACACAATGTAAATGCTCATTAAATCTTGATGGACAGATTGAATACTCTTATTTTGTTACTGTCACGTTCATATAAATGCTGAAAGTAAAGGCTTTCAAGCATGACCATAAAAATAAAGAGTCTCCTGGCTCAGTCTGCAGAAGCACACATCAAGAGGGGATGATTATGCACATAGAGATGCTCGTCCTTGGCCACACCAACTTGGCTCTGAAGGAAACTATAAATCTCCCTCCTGAATGGGCAAACTCAGCATCCGGATGCCTAACACTGACGGCAGAGGGGTTTCAATCCGAGCAATATCTGACGTGAAAACAATGAGAAGCTGAGCAAATGCTAGCTTCTGGTTCCTTGACAAGAGACACATTTTCTTTGCAGATTTTTAAGATGTTAAAAATGTTTAGTTATAACTCCAGATGGCAGAATATATTAACTTTAGATTTTAGAATTATTAATGTAATTCACACACTGTCAGCTATTGTATTTTTGGATGTAAATGGAGCCCAAATGAGAAGAGAAAGACACCTTTTCTGTTAGGTTTTATGATCATCTGCTATCTAGGCCTTTAAAAAAAATCCCCCTTGGCAGTCAGCTGTATTTCCTGACACATTAACAGCATGAGACCAATAGAATCAAAGACTACAAAGACACATTTGACAACCCCCCTAAAGAGTTCATGGGCCAATAAATGATTTACATGCCAAGGTCTTGTTATTTGGTGGCATATCTATCAAAATGACAAATGAAGACTTTTAGATGTATTTGCTGAATCATGAAGAAAACCTTACGCTCTTAGGGGCAACAGTGACACTGCAAATGTGTGAAGAGGGACTTTGTTTTTCAACATGTCTCATGCTGTATGCGATCTGTGCATTTTGCCATCATGAAACCATAGAATTTCAAGCCTAAACCACACTCAAAAGAAAACTATTTGACAAGACAGATAAGTCATTTACTTCACTCAACGTGTGTTGAATGGTACGTAAATAAAACCCATCACTGTCAAGATGTTTCTATGCAGAAAATCTTCAAAAGCAGGAGAATCTACGGAGAACATAGGGGAGAAACAAAAGGAATACGGCAGTGGGAGACTTTGTCTTTTCTAACATCTTAAATGTTAAATATGTGTTGTCAGTCTGATTAACTGCCAAACACACAACGCTAAAAATAACTGAAGGGAGGAGTATTAAACAGGTGACATTATAATTGCTTAGCCTACCTGGGGCACTTCAGAGGGGAGTAAGACGCTAAGT